GATAGGAGACACCAGCACTGGACACAGGCCATATGGGAGGAAACATAACAAATCCGCTTACAGGACACACAGGACCCACTTGTTCACACAGACCATAGGAGCTCCCCTTACAGGACACACAGGACCAGGAGGGCACTGCACTGTCCACACAGGCGATAGGAGCTCCCCTTCCAGTATACAGGATGCAGGGACCGCAATGGTCCACACAGGCCATAGGGAGCTTCAGGATGCAGGACTGCACTGGTCCACACAGGCCCTTACAGGATACAGGGCACAGGAACGCACTGGTCACACACACACCATAGGAGCTCCCCTTACAGGACACAGGACCGCACTGGTCCACACAGATATAGGGGCTTCCCCCAGGGCACAGGAACGCAGACCATAGGAGGTCCACACAGACCATAGGAGGTCCCCTTACAGTATACAAGTCCGCTCTGGTCCACACAGGCCATAGGAGCTCCCCCTTAAAGGATATAGGATGCAAAACCGCGCTGGTCCACACAGACCATAGGGGCTCCCACTTACAGGACACAGAACCGCACTGGTCCACACAGACCATAGGGGCTCCCCCTTAAAGGATACAGGATCGCACTGGCCCACACAGACCATAGGAGCTCCCCCTTACAGGATACAGGTCCGCACTGGTCCACACAGGCCATAGGAGCTCACCCTTAAAGGATACATGATGCAGGACCGCACTGATCCACACAGGCAATGAGAGCTCCACCTTACAGGATACAGGATGCAGGACTGGACTGGTCGACACAGGCCATAGCAGCTCCCCCTTACCGGACACAGGATCACACTGGCCCACACAGGCCATAGGAGCTCCCCCTTACAGGATACAGGTCCGCACTGGTCCACACAGGCAATGGGAGCTCCCCCTTACAGGATACAGGATGCAGGACCGGACTGGTCGACACAGGCGATAGGAGCTCCCCCTTAAAGGATACATGATGCAGGACCGTTCTGGTCAACACAGACCATAGGAGCTCCCCCTTCCAGGACACAAGACCGCACTGGTCCACACAGGCCTGAGTCGCTCCCCCTTACAGGACACAGGACCGCACTGATCTACACGGGCCATAGGAGTTCCCCCTTCCAGGACACATGAAAGCACTGGTCCACACAGGCCATAGAGACTCCCCTTTACTGGACACAGAACCGCACTGGTCCACACAGGCCATAGGAGCTCCCCCTTACAGGATAGAGGATGTACGATCGCACTGGTCCACACAGACTATAGGAGCTCCCCCTTACAGGACATAGGACCGCACTTGTCCACAAAGGCTATAGGAGTTCCCCCTTACAGGACACAGGACCGCACTGGTCCTCACAGACCATAGCAGCTCCCCCTTACAGTATACAAGTCAGCACTGGTCCACACAGGCCATAGGAGCTCCCCCTTAAAGGATACAGGATGCAGGACCGTTCTGGTCCGCACAGGCCATAGGAGCTCCCCCTTCCAGGACACAAGACCGCACTGGTCCACACAGGCCATAGGAGTTCCCCCTTACAGGACACATGAAAGCTTTGGTCCACACAGGCCATAGAGGCTCCCCCTTACTGGACACAGGACCGCACTGGTCCACACACGCCATAGGAGCTCCCCCTTACAGGATAGAGGATGCACTGATCTACACGGGCCATAGGAGTTCCCCCTTACAGGACACATGAAAGCTTTGGTCCACACAGGCCATAGAGGCTCCCCCTTACTGGACACAGGACCGCACTGGTCCACACACGCCATAGGAGCTCCCCCTTACAGGATAGAGGATGCACGACCGCACTGGTCCACACAGACTATAGGAGCTCCCCCTTGCAAGACAGAGGAACGCACGGGTCCACAAGCACCATAGGAGCTCCCACGTACAGGACACAGCACCGCACTGGTCCACACAGGCCATAGGAGCTCCCCTTACTGGACACATGAAAGCTTTGGTCCACACAGGCCATAGAGGCTCCCCCTTACTGGACACAGGACCGCACTGGTCCACACAGGCCATAGGAGCTCCCCCTTACAGGATAGAGGATGCACGACCGCACTGGTCAACACAGACTATAGGAGCTCCCCCTTGCAAAACAGAGGAACGCACGGGTCCACAAGCACCATAGCTGCTCCCACGTACAGGACACAGGACCGCACTGGTCAACACAGGCCATAGGAGCTCCCCCTTACAGGATACAGGTCCACACTGGTCCAAGTAGACCATAGGACCTCCCCCTTACAGGACACAGGACCGCACTGGTCCACACGCACCATAGGAGCTCCCCCTTACAGGATACAGGTCCACACTGGTCCAAGTAGACCATAGGACCTCCCCCTTACAGGACACAGGACCGCACTGGTCCACACGCACCATAGGAGCTCCCCCTTACAGGACACAGGACCACACTGGTCCACACAGACCACAGGAGCTCCCACTTAAAGGACACAGGATGCAGGACCGCACTGATCCACACAGGCAATAGGAGCTCCCCCTTACAAGATACAGGATGGAGGACCGCACTGGTCCACACAGGCTGTAGGGGCTCCCCCTTACAGGACACAGGATGCAGGACCGCACTGGTCCACACAGACCATAGCCTCTCCCCGTTACAGGACACAGAAACGCACTGGTCCACACAGGCCATAGGAGCTCCCCCTTACAGGACACAGGATGCAGGACCGCACTGGTCCACACAGGCCATAGGGGCTCCCCCTTACCGGACACAGGACCGCACTGGTCCACACAGGCAATAGGAGCTCCCCCTTACAGGATACAGGATGCAGGACCGCACTGGTCCACACAGGCCATAGGGTTCTCCCCCTCACAGGACACAGGAACGCACTGGTCCATACACACCATAGGAGCTCCCACTTACAGGACACAGGACCGCACTGGTCCACACAGACCATAGGAGGTCCCCCTTACAGTATACAAGTCCGCTCTGGTCCACACAGGCCATAGGAGCTCCCCCTTAAAGGATATAGGATGCAAAACCGCGCTGGTCCACACAGACCATAGGGGCTCCCACTTACAGGACACAGAACCGCACTGGTCCACACAGACCATAGGGGCTCCCCCTTAAAGGATACAGGATCGCACTGGCCCACACAGACCATAGGAGCTCCCCCTTACAGGATACAGGTCCGCACTGGTCCACACAGGCCATAGGAGCTCACCCTTAAAGGATACATGATGCAGGACCGCACTGATCCACACAGGCAATGAGAGCTCCACCTTACAGGATACAGGATGCAGGACTGGACTGGTCGACACAGGCCATAGCAGCTCCCCCTTACCGGACACAGGATCACACTGGCCCACACAGGCCATAAGAGCTCCCCCTTACAGGATACAGGTTCGCACTGGTCCACACAGGCCATAGGAGCTCACCCTTAAAGGATACAGGATGCAGGACCGCACTGGTCCACACAGGCAATGGGAGCTCCCCCTTACAGGATACAGGATGCAGGACCGGACTGGTCGACACAGGCGATAGGAGCTCCCCCTTAAAGGATACAGGATGCAGGACCGCTCTGGTCCACACAGGCCATAGTCGCTCCCCTTTACAGGACACAGGACCGCACTGATCTACACAGACCATAGGATCTCCCCGTTACAGGACAGAGGACCGCACTGGTCCACACAGACCATAGGAGCTCCCCCTTACAGGACACATGAAAGCACTGGTCCACACAGGCAATAGGGGCTCCCCCTTACAAGACAGAGGACAGCAATGGTCCACACGCACCATAGCAGCTCCCCTTTACAGGACACAGCACCGCACTGGTCCACACAGGCCATAGGGGCTTCCCCTTACTGGACACAGGACCGCACTGCTCCACACAGGCCATATGAGCTCCCCCTTACAGGATACAGGATGCAGGACCGCACTGGTTCAGACAGGCCATATGAGCTCCCCTTTACAAGACAGAGGACAGCAATGGTCAACACGCACCATAGGAGCTCCCCCTTACGGAACAAAGGACCGCACTGGTCCACACAGGCCATATGACTTCCCCCTTACAGGACACAGGACCGCACTGGTCCACACAGACCATAGCAGCTCCCCCTTACAGTATACAGGTCAGCGCTGGTCCACACAGGCCATAGGAGCTCCCCCTTAAAGGATACAGGATGCAGGACCGCTCTGGTCCAAACAGGCCATAGGAGCTCCCCCTTCCAGGACACAAGACCGCACTGGTCCACACAGGCCATAGTCGCTGCCCTTTACAGGACACAGGACCGCATTGATCTACACAGACCATAGGATCTCCCCGTTACAGGACACATGAAAGCACTGGTCCACACAGACAATAGGGGCTCCCCCTTACAGGACACAGGACTGCACTTGTCCACACAGGCCATAGGGGCTTCCCCTTACTGGACAGAGGACCGCACTGGTCCACACATGCCATATGAGCTACCCCTTACAGGATACAGGATGCAGGACCGCACTGGTCCAGACAGGCCATATGAGCTCCCCCTTACAAGACAGAGGACAGCAATGGTCCACACACACCATAGGAGCTCCCCTTTACAGGACACAGCACCGCACTGGTCCACACAGGCCATAGGGGCTTCCCCTTACTGGACACTGGACCGCACTGCTCCACACAGGCCATATGAGCTCCCCCTTACAGGATACAGGATGCAGGACCGCACTGGTCCACACAGGCAATAGGAGCTGCCCCTTACAGGATACAGGATGCAGGACTAGACTCGTCCACACAGGCCATAGGGGCTCCCCCTTACAGGGCACAGGAACGCACTGATCTACACACACCATAGGAGCTTCCCCTTACAGGAGACAGGACCGCACTGGTCAACACAGACCATAGGAGCTCCCCCTTACAGTATACAGGTCCGCACTGGTCCACACAGGCCATAGGAGCTCCCCGCTAAAGGATACAGGATGCAGGATCGCTCTGGTCCACACAGGCCATAGGGGCTTCCACTTACAGGACACAGAACCGCACTGGTCCACACAGACCATAGGAGCTCCCCCTTAAAGGATACAGGATGCAGGACCGTTCTGGTCCGCACAGGCCATAGAAGCTCCCCCTTCCAGGACACAAGACCGCACTGGTCCACACAGGCCTGAGTTGCTCCCCCTTACAGGACACAGGACCGCACTGATCTACACGGGCCATAGGAGTTCCCCCTTACAGGACACATGAAAGCTTTGGTCCACACAGGCCATAGAGGCTCCCCCTTACTGGACACAGGACCGCACTGGTCCACACACGCCATAGGAGCTCCCCCTTACAGGATAGAGGATGCACGACCGCACTGGTCCACACAGACTATAGGAGCTCCCCCTTGCAAGACAGAGGAACGCACGGGTCCACAAGCACCATAGGAGCTCCCACGTACAGGACACAGGACCGCACTGGTCCACACAGGCCATAGGAGCTCCCCCTTACTGGACACATGAAAGCTTTGGTCCACACAGGCCATAGAGGCTCCCCCTTACTGGACACAGGACCGCACTGGTCCACACAGGCCATAGGAGCTCCCCCTTACAGGATAGAGGATGCACGACCGCACTGGTCCACACAAACTATAGGAGCTCCCCCTTGCAAAACAGAGGAACGCACGGGTCCACAAGCACCATAGCTGCTCCCACGTACAGGACACAGAACCGCACTAGTCCACACAGGACATAGGAGCTCCCCCTTACAGGATACAGGTCCACACTGGTCCAAGTAGACCATAGGACCTCCCCCTTACAGGACACAGGACCGCACTGGTCCACACGCACCATAGGAGCTCCCCCTTACAGGACACAGGACCACACTGGTCCACACAGACCACAGGAGCTCCCACTTAAAGGATACAGGATGCAGGACCGCACTGATCCACACAGGCAATAGGAGCTCCCCCTTACAAGATACAGGATGGAGGACCGCACTGGTCCACACAGGCTGTAGGTGCTCCCCCTTACAGGACACAGGATGCTGGACCGCACTGGTCCACACAGACCATAGCCTCTCCCCGTTACAGGACACAGAAACGCACTGGTCCACACAGGCCATAGGAGCTCCCCCTTACAGGACACAGGATGCAGGACCGCACTGGTCCACACAGGCCATAGGGGCTCCCCCTTACCGGACACAGGACCGCACTGGTCCACACAGGCAATAGGAGCTCCCCCTTACAGGATACAGGATGCAGGACCGCACTGGTCCACACAGGCCATAGGGTTCTCCCCCTCACAGGACACAGGAACGCACTGGTCCATACACACCATAGGAGCTCCCACTTACAGGACACAGGACCGCACTGGTCCACACAGACCATAGGAGGTCCCCCTTACAGTATACAAGTCCGCTCTGGTCCACACAGGCCATAGGAGCTCCCCCTTAAAGGATATAGGATGCAAAACCGCGCTGGTCCACACAGACCATAGGGGCTCCCACTTACAGGACACAGAACCGCACTGGTCCACAGACCATAGGGGGGAACTTAAAGGATACAGGATCTGCACTGGCCCACACAGACCATAGGAGCTCCCCTTACAGGATACAGGTCCGCACTGGTCCACACAGGCCATAGGAGCTCACCCTTAAAGGATACATGATGCAGGACCGCACTGATCCACACAGGCAATGAGAGCTCCACCTTACAGGATACAGGATGCAGGACTGGACTGGTCGACACAGGCCATAGCAGCTCCCCTTACCGGACACAGGATCACACTGGCCCACACAGGCCATAGGAGCTCCCCCTTACAGGATACAGGTTCGCACTGGTCCACACAGGCCATAGGAGCTCACCCTTAAAGGATACAGGATGCAGGACCGCACTGGTCCACACAGGCAATGGGAGCTCCCCCTTACAGGATACAGGATGCAGGAACGGACTGGTCGACACAGGCGATAGGAGCTCCCCCTTAAAGGATACAGGATGCAGGACCGCTCTGGTCCACACAGGCCATAGTCGCTCCCCTACAGGACACATGAAAGCACTGGTCCACACAGGCAATAGGGGCTCCCCCTTACAAGACAGAGGACAGCAATGGTCCACACGCACCATAGCAGCTCCCCTTTACAGGACACAGCACCGCACTGGTCCACACAGGCCATAGCGGCTTCCCCTTACTGGACACACGACCGCACTGCTCCACACAGGCCATATGAGCTCCCCCTTACAGGATACAGGATGCAGGACCGCACTGGTCCAGACAGGCCATATGAGCTCCCCTTTACAAGACAGAGGACAGCAATGGTCAACACGCACCATAGGAGCTCCCCCTTACGGAACAAAGGACCGCACTGGTCCACACAGGCCATATGACTTCCCCCTTACAGGACACAGGACCGCACTGGTCCACACAGACCATAGCAGCTCCCCCTTACAGTATACAGGTCAGCGCTGGTCCACACAGGCCATAGGAGCTCCCCCTTAAAGGATACAGGATGCAGGACCGCTCTGGTCCAAACAGGCCATAGGAGCTCCCCCTTCAAGGACACAAGACCGCACTGGTCCACACAGGCCATAGTCGCTGCCCTTTACAGGACACAGGACCGCATTGATCTACACAGACCATAGGATCTCCCCGTTACAGGACACATGAAAGCACTGGTCCACACAGGCAATAGGGGCTCCCCCTTACAGGACACAGGACTGCACTTGTCCACACAGGCCATAGGGGCTTCCCTTACTGGACAGAGGACCGCACTGGTCCACACATGCCATATGAGCTACCCCTTACAGGATACAGGATGCAGGACCGCACTGGTCCAGACAGGCCATATGAGCTCCCCCTTACAAGACAGAGGACAGCAATGGTCCACACACACCATAGGAGCTCCCCTTTACAGGACACAGCACCGCACTGGTCCACACAGGCCATAGGGGCTTCCCCTTACTGGACACAGGACCGCACTGCTCCACACAGGCCATATGAGCTCCCCCTTACAGGATACAGGATGCAGGACCGCACTGGTCCACACAGGCAATAGGAGCTGCCCCTTACAGGATACAGGATGCAGGACCGGACTCGTCCACACAGGCCATAGGGGCTCCCCCTTACAGGGCACAGGAACGCACTGATCTACACACACCATAGGAGCTTCCCCTTACAGGAGACAGGACCGCACTGGTCAACACAGACCATAGGAGCTCCCCCTTACAGTATACAGGTCCGCACTGGTCCACACAGGCCATAGGAGCTCCCCGTTAAAGGATACAGGATGCAGGATCGCTCTGGTCCACACAGGCCATAGGGGCTTCCACTTACAGGACACAGAACCGCACTGGTCCACACAGACCATAGGAGCTCCCCCTTCCAGGACACAAGACCGCACTGGTCCACACAGGCCATAGTCGCTCCCCTTTACAGGACACAGGACCGCATTGATCTACACAGACCATAGGATCACCCCGTTACAGGATAGAGGACCGCACTGGTCCACACAGGCCATAGGAGCTCCCCCTTACAGGACACATGAAAGCACTGGTCCACACAGGCAATAGGGGCTCCCCCTTACAGGACACAGGACTGCACTTGTCCACACAGGCCATAGGGGCTTCCCCTTACTGGACAGAGGACCGCACTGGTCCACACATGCCATATGAGCTACCCCTTACAGGATACAGGATGCAGGACCGCACTGGTCCAGACAGGCCATATGAGCTCCCCCTTACAAGACAGAGGACAGCAATGGTCCACACGCACCATAGGAGCTCCCCTTTACAGGACACAGCACCGCACTGGTCCACACAGGCCATATGGGCTTCCCCTTACTGGACACACGACCGCACTGCTCCACACAGGCCATATGAGCTCCCCCTTACAGGATACAGGATGCAGGACCGCACTGGTCCACACAGGCAATGTGAGCTCCCCCTTACAAGACAGAGGACAGCAATGGTCCACACGCACCATAGGAGCTCCCCCTTCCGGAACAAAGGACCGCACTGGTCCAAACAGACCATAGGAGCTCCCCCTTAAAGGACACAGGACCGCACTGGTCCACTCAGGCCATATGAGCTCCCCCTTACAGAACACAGGATCGCACTGGTCAACACAGGCTTTAGGAAGCTCCCCCTTACAGGATACGATTCGCACTGGTCCACAGGCCATAGGAGCTCCCCCTTAAAGGATAAAGGATGCAGGACCGATCTGGTCCACACAGGCCATAGGAGCTCCCCCTTACAGGAAACAGGACCGCACTGGTCCACACAGGCCATAGGGGTCCCCCTTACCGGACACAGGACCGCACTGGTCCACACAGGCCATAGGAGCTCCCCCTTACAGGATACAGGATGCAGGACCGCACTGGTCCAGACAGGCCATATGAGCTCCCCTTTACAAGACAGAGCACAGCAATGGTCAACACGCACCATAGGAGCTCCCCTTACAGGAACAAAGGACCGCGCACTGGTCCACACAGGCCATAGGACTTCCCCTTACAGGACACAGGACCGCACTGGTCCACACAGACCATAGCAGCTCCCCCTTACAGTATACAGGTCAGCGCTGGACACAGGACCCACACAGGCCATAGGAGCTCCCCTTAAAGGATACAGGATGCAGGACCGCTCTGGTCCAAACAGGCCATAGGAGCTCCCCTTCAAGGACACAAGACCGCACTGGTCCACACAGGCCATAGTCGCTGCCCTTACAGGACACAGGACCGCATTGATCTACACAGACCATAGGATCTCCCCGTTACAGGACACATGAAACCGCACTGGTCCACACAGGCAATAGGGGCTCCCCTTACAGGACACAGGACTGCACTTGTCCACACAGGCCATAGGGGCTTCCCCTTACTGGACAGAGGACCGCACTGGTCCACACATGCCATATGAGCTACCCCTTACAGGATACAGGATGCAGGACCGCACTGGTCCAGACAGGCCATATGAGCTCCCCCTTACAAGACAGAGGACAGCAATGGTCCACACACACCATAGGAGCTCCCCTTTACAGGACACAGCACCGCACTGGTCCACACAGGCCATAGGGGCTTCCCCTTACTGGACACAGGACCGCACTGCTCCACACAGGCCATATGAGCTCCCCCTTACAGGATACAGGATGCAGGACCGCACTGGTCCACACAGGCAATAGGAGCTGCCCCTTACAGGATACAGGATGCAGGACCGGACTCGTCCACACAGGCCATAGGGGCTCCCCCTTACAGGGCACAGGAACGCACTGATCTACACACACCATAGGAGCTTCCCCTTACAGGAGACAGGACCGCACTGGTCAACACAGACCATAGGAGCTCCCCCTTACAGTATACAGGTCCGCACTGGTCCACACAGGCCATAGGAGCTCCCCGTTAAAGGATACAGGATGCAGGATCGCTCTGGTCCACACAGGCCATAGGGGCTTCCACTTACAGGACACAGAACCGCACTGGTCCACACAGACCATAGGAGCTCCCCCTTCCAGGACACAAGACCGCACTGGTCCACACAGGCCATAGTCGCTCCCCTTTACAGGACACAGGACCGCATTGATCTACACAGACCATAGGATCACCCCGTTACAGGATAGAGGACCGCACTGGTCCACACAGGCCATAGGAGCTCCCCCTTACAGGACACATGAAAGCACTGGTCCACACAGGCAATAGGGGCTCCCCCTTACAGGACACAGGACTGCACTTGTCCACACAGGCCATAGGGGCTTCCCCTTACTGGACAGAGGACCGCACTGGTCCACACATGCCATATGAGCTACCCCTTACAGGATACAGGATGCAGGACCGCACTGGTCCAGACAGGCCATATGAGCTCCCCCTTACAAGACAGAGGACAGCAATGGTCCACACGCACCATAGGAGCTCCCTTTACAGGACACAGCACCGCACTGGTCACACAGGCCATATGGGCTTCCCCTTACTGGACACACGACCGCACTGCTCCACACAGGCCATATGAGCTCCCCCTTACAGGATACAGGATGCAGGACCGCACTGGTCCACACAGGCAATGTGAGCTCCCCCTTACAAGACAGAGGACAGCAATGGTCCACACGCACCATAGGAGCTCCCCCTTCCGGAACAAAGGACCGCACTGGTCCAAACAGACCATAGGAGCTCCCCCTTAAAGGACACAGGACCGCACTGGTCCTGGTCCTCAGGCCATATGAGCTCCCCCCTTACAGAACACAGGATCGCACTGGTCAACACAGGCTTTAGGAAGCTCCCCCTTACAGGATACAGGTTCGCACTGGTCCACAGGCCATAGGAGCTCCCCCTTAAAGGATAAAGGATGCAGGACCGATCTGGTCCACACAGGCCATAGGAGCTCCCCCTTACAGGAAACAGGACCGCACTGGTCCACACAGGCCATAGGGGTCCCCCCCTTACCGGACACAGGACCGCACTGGTCCACACAGGCCATAGGAGCTCCCCCTTACAGGATACAGGATGTAGGACCGCACTGGTCCACACAGGCAATAGGAGCTGCCCCTTACAGGATACAGGATGCAGGACCGGACTCGTCCACACAGGCCATAGGGGCTCCCCCTTACAGGGCACAGGAACGCACTGGTCCACACACAACATAGGAGCTTCCCCTTACAGGACACAGGACCGCACTGGTCAACACAGACCATAGGAGCTCCCCCTTACAGTATACAGGTCCGCACTGGTCCACACAGGCCATAGGAGCTCCCCGTTAAAGGATACAGGATGCAGGATCGCTCTGGTCCACACAGGCCATAGGGGCTTCCACTTACAGGACACAGAACCGCACTGGTCCACACAGACCATAGGAGCTCCCCCTTCCAGGACACAGGACCGCACTGGTTCACACAGGCCATAGTCGCTCCCCTTTACAGGACACAGGACCGCATTGATCTACACAGACCATAGGATCACCCCGTTACAGGATAGAGGACCGCACTGGTCCACACAGGCCATAGGAGCTCCCCCTTACAGGACACATGAAAGCACTGGTCCACACAGACAATAGGGGCTCCCCCTTACAGGACACAGGACTGCACTTGTCCACACAGGCCATAGGTGCTTCCCCTTACTGGACAGAGGACCGCACTGGTCCACACATGCCATATGAGCTACCCCTTACAGGATACAGGATGCAGGACCGCACTGGTCCAGACAGGCCATATGAGCTCCCCCCCCTTACAAGACAGGACAGCAATGGTCCACACGCACCATAGAGCCCCCTTACAGGAGGACACAGCACCGCACTGGTCCACACAGGCCATATGGGCTTCCCACAGGCCATTACTGGACACACGACCGCACTGCTCCACACAGGCCATATGAGCTCCCCCTTACAGGATACAGGATGCAGGACCGCACTGGTCCACACAGGCAATGTGAGCTCCCCCTTACAAGACAGAGGACAGCAATGGTCCACACGCACCATAGGAGCTCCCCCTTCCGGAACAAAGCACCGCACTGGTCCAAACAGACCATAGGAGCTCCCCCTTAAAGGACACAGGACCGCACTGGTCCACTCAGGCCATATGAGCTCCCCCTTACAGAACACAGGATCGCACTGGTCAACACAGGCTTTAGGAAGCTCCCCCTTACAGGATACAGGTTCGCACTGGTCCACAGGCCATAGGAGCTCCCCCTTAAAGGATAAAGGATGCAGGACCGATCTGGTCCACACAGGCCATAGGAGCTCCCCCTTACAGGAAACAGGACCGCACTGGTCCACACAGGCCATAGGGGTCCCCCCCTTACCGGACACAGGACCGCACTGGTCCACACAGGCCATAGGAGCTCCCCCTTACAGGATACAGGATGTAGGACCGCACTGGTCCACACAGGCAATAGGAGCTGCCCCTTACAGGATACAGGATGCAGGACCGGACTCGTCCACACAGGCCATAGGGGCTCCCCCTTACAGGGCACAGGAACGCACTGGTCCACACACACCATAGGAGCTTCCCCTTACAGGACACAGGACCGCACTGGTCAACACAGACCATAGGAGCTCCCCCTTACAGTAGACAGGTCTGCACTGGTCGACACAGGCCATAGGAGCTCCCCCTTAAAGGATACAGGATGCAGGACCGCTCTGGTCCATACAGGCCATAGGGGCTCCCACTTACAGGACACAGAACCGCACTGGTCCACACAGACCATAGGAGCTCCCCCTTCCAGGACACAAGACCGCACTGGTCCACACAGGCCATAGTCGCTCCCCTTTACAGGACACAGGACCGCACTGATCTACATAGACCATAGGATCTCCCCGTTACAGGACAGAGGACCGCACTGGTCCACACAGGCCATAGGAGCTCCCCCTTAAAGGATACATGAAAGCACTGGTCCACACAGGCAATAGGAGCTCCCCCTTACAAGACAGAGGACAGCAATGGTCCACACGCACCATAGGAGCTCCCATTTACAGGACACAGCACCGCACTGGTCCACACAGGCCATAGGGGCTTCCCCTTACTGGACACACGACCGCACTGGTCCACACAGGCCATATGAGCTCCCCCTTACAGGATACAGGATGCAGGACCGCACTGGTCCACACAGGCAATAGGAGCTGCCCCTTACAGGATACAGGATGCAGGACCGGACTCGTCCACACAGGCCATAGGGGCTCCCCCTTACAGGGCACAGGAACGCACTGGTCCACACACACCATAGGAGCTTCCCCTTACAGGACACAGGACCGCACTGGTCAACACAGACCATAGGAGCTCCCCCTTACAGTATACAGGTCCGCACTGGTCCACACAGGCCATAGGAGCTCCCCGTTAAAGGATACAGGATGCAGGACCGCTCTGGTCCATACAGGCCATAGGGGCTCCCACTTACAGGACACAGAACCGCACTGGTCCACACAGACCATAGGAGCTCCCCCTTCCAGGACACAAGACCGCACTGGTCCACACAGGCCATAGTCGCTCCCCTTTACAGGACACAGGACCGCACTGATCTACACAGACCATAGGATCTCCCCGTTACAGGACAGAGGACCGCACTGGTCCACAAAGACCATAGGAGCTCCCCCTTACAGGACACATGAAAGCACTGGTCCACACAGGCAATAGGGGCTCCCCCTTACAAGACAGAGGACAGCAATGGTCCACACGCACCATAGCAGCTCCCCTTTACAGGACACAGCACCGCACTGGTCCACACAGGCCATAGGGGCTTCCCCTTACTGGACACACGACCGCACTGCTCCACACAGGCCATATGAGCTCCCCCTTACAGGATACAGGATGCAGGACCGCACTGGTCCAGACAGGCCATATGAGCTCCCCTTTACAGGACAGAGGACAGCAATGGTCCACACGCACCATAGGAGCTCCCCCTTACGGAACAAAGGACCGCACTGGTCCAAACAGACCATAGGAGCTCCCCCTTAAAGGACACAGGACCGCACTGGTCCACACAGGCCATAGGAGCTCCCCCTTACAGAACACAGGACCGCACTGGTCCACACAGGCTTTAGGAAGCTCCCCCTTACAGGATACAGGAACGCACTGGTCCACACAGACCATAGGATCTCCCCCTTACAGGGTACAGGAACGCACTTGTTCACACAGACCACACAGACAGACTCAAAGTGTAACAGGGTACAGGACACTATACAAATATCAACACATTTCTATACTGATCATCCAACATACAACGAGTATTACATACACAGAATGATTACACTTAACAGAATGATGATAGCATTACATTCACTTAAAATAGCGAACGTTGTTCAACACAAAGACAAGAGGTTATGGTAATACCATCTGAACACCTGCACACATCCTTGTTACAACAATGTATAACAGAGGTGAACCCATGGAACCCCGGAATCCCGGAACCCCTGAAGAACAACAACAACGAAATAGTTGACATAACACCGTGCGTGACTATCGGTCATAGATAATTATTTACAAACAACTATCTTTTTAGAAAAAATATATAGATAATATAAATATTTCGTTACAAATAATAACATAAATATTACCCAAACCAAAATATGTATTTTTCGAAGACACATAATGGCGAACCATTCATCAATTCATAAGCATATGTTTGTGTATGGAGACAACATTCCTTATACAGGTTTGTTTATTTGTTGTTTAACGCCGCACTCAGTTACATCATGGGTGAAGCATCGAATCTGGACTAGAAAATCCAGGGAATAACTTCATGAGCTTCAATCTTTACAACAGGAATTTGCATCAACCAAGTCAGCGAACCCATTCACCCGGTCCCGCTAGTAACCTCTGCTGACAAGGATTTTTTGCAGTCGATCGCATTGTGGGTAAAAAGTAGCAACATTCTACATCTCCTGGTGCCACTGGTGTTCAAAGGTACACTAACACCTTCACCGTGTGCATTTTCTAGCCGCATAATTTAGGATTTTCTAATTTAACCCATATGTCTCTTGCATACTTTGCTGATACATCTCTTCCAGCGAATTTCTTCCTCTTTGCAAAATCACAGACTCCCGGCCTTCCATAGGGATTGTATTCATTACTGGGTATGGCTTTATGATTTGCCCCAACAACCTTTGCAAGGATCCCTGTGATATGGGCATCCTCCATGTTCACATAGGGCATATATTCTGCAGCTTCCAGAATCTGCATGGCCGTATTGGTTGGCAGAATATAGATATTGCCTTTCACATGAGGTGGATAAACACGGAAGGGGTAGGCTTGTTGACTCACCCCGTATTTCCCCGATGTTTGATGGATTTCATTGGTAAAATATGGTCCGATGATCCTACTGTTCCAGTCCGTTGACTGTAAACGTTCTACCAACCATGGGATGTGGACAAACGAATCCTCGTCGTTTTTCATAATGAATTTGGTTCCGGGACAATGATTTTTTACCCACTTAAATCCAGAAAGAACTTTATAGGTAAGATTGAAATAACTTTCTTTAAAATTTGCCTGGACAATGTCATGATTCTCTGAAGCTTCCTTCAGTAAGTCTTTATTTTCTGAAACATTTCCAGTTTCACCGAAAATAAACACAAGTCTGACAACAAGTGATAAGGATGTCCCAGCCCATGTGTTATTGCGTGTGAAGCTGCCCCAAGTCTCGCGTATCGAGTTCCTAAAATCTCTGTGTGGGATCATTGACAGGACAAGGATAATTAAATCCGTCTGACCATCAGCACACACGTCACTAGCTATTGTAAACTTAAAATCCAATGGAGTAACTTTGTGTTCCCGACGTTTGAAAAATGCTGGGTTATCGTTAGGATGATTCCAAGTTTGAACTTTTAATTGTGGTTTCGGTTTAGGGGATATACTCTGCACATTGTCCGATTGTTTTCTGTCATGGTCGGTTGTAACACTACTACCTGACGGTGTCACAGTTTGAGTCCAGATTGTAGTGTGAGGTTTGTTGATATGTTCAGCGTTGTTGTCTGATAGGATTCTTGCTCCGTCGTTGTAGACTCCGACTTGTGGTATTACGTCTTGGTATTTGAAGGCCACCAGAAGAGCAACTGCTAATATGCCTATGAGCGCCAGAAGGCCACTTTTAACAATTTTCGTGGCTCCACGTGGAAACATAGCAGTCTGTTTTGGTGTTTCTGAAATCCGAATATAACAATTAACGAATATTTAACGAACGACACGACACGCATTAAGTATAAACCACACTCACTATTATTACATAAAATATCGTTAGGCATTTGGTTGGTTTGTTGTTTAACGCCGCATCCATCTATACTCCAGCTATATGGCGGCGATCTGTAAATAATCGAGTCTGACAGCATGCACATCGATCTACGAAATTGGGATACGATGACATGTGTCAAGGAAGTCAGCGAGCCTGACCACCCGATTCCGTTAGCCGCTGCTCACGACAGGTATGGGTTGTTGAAGACCAATTCTTACGCGGATCTTCATGGGTTTGGGATATGCAATGTTATACACACCTGGAATTACCGGTACTGATCAGATGTCAGGTGGTATAGCCGTTGCTATAAAACATGAATAGTAAACTATTTCTGAGAATAGATGTGTAAATGCAAGATTTCCCTATAAACATTTCAGTGTATTAACTGTTTGAAATGGAATTGTAATCAAAATTATTACAATTTGTTTTAATCATTTTATCAATGGTGATCCAATAATAAAAACACTTTGTTATTAATCTAAAGTTCAAATTCCACGCAATCTTTATCAATTCTAAGACTTGTGTTATGTACACTGGTATTTTCATTGAGGTGAGGTAAATCTATCAAGCATGCTTACAAAAGTCTTTCATTAAAAATGTATCTGTCGTATTTTTTTACGCATTTCCTCACACGATTAAATTCACTAGTGGTATATTTTGTTTTGAGAAGAGACGGGAGACCAGTCTAATGCAATTGACAAGAATTGATGAACAAATGCATTTATTTAGCTATTAAAATGCGATATTTGATAAAGGACGCATTTTATCCAAAAAGGAATTCTTGTAAGATAGGGGATGCACAAAGACCGACATCTGTCTCCAGTTTTTCTATAATCAGAAAGTGGCAAACAAACGCTATGTTTAATTGCATGGGTTTGACAGAAGTTCAGTCTGATGTTTTACAATTTAGTCTTAGTCACAGTCACGTTGGAACAGACTGTCGGGTTTGCCTGAATTAATTAGGATTCGGGTTAAGAAAACTTATCCAAACAATAACTTAAAGGCTCATATTGGTAGGCTTGCCCTTTCAAGATTGTTGACTGCGTACAAGGCCTCCTGCATAGTGCTAACTTAACCTGTAGTCGCTGAATATATGTAATTTCAACAGAGAAAACTTGAACTGAAAAGGAGGTTCGAAGGAAATCTAGACTTGCTTCATTTAGAGCTTAGCACATTGCAGAAAGGGCTGGACATAAGGGGGGGGGGGGATAATGCGGTTCAGGGACTGTGAGACAGACTAACATGGTGCATGACTTAAGCCCTAGCTTCATCAGCTGCTCGACACATCCTGTACTTGTTAATTATAAACTGAAAGATATTAAGGAAGAGTTTTTAATAGATGTCAACTGCTTTATGATGACGAGCACAACGTTTAGGAGTATATCCTTACTTCTTCATCAGTTGAATGAATGGTATGAGACAAAGAGCATATATATAAATCCTGCGTCCAATACTCATAAAAATTGACAATGGACGGAACACAATGTATTAGCGCACCCACAGGGATGCATAAATACTTTTTGTAAAACTTCCAATCAAGTAAAACATAAGTTATCAAAGAGTTCGCTACTCGCTGGGTTATGGTTTCATTTGCAATTCAATTACTGTAACAATTAATGTGATGTTCATGATACACAAGACCAATAACATTATTAATAATAATAATTAAACGCAAACTGAGGCCAGAACAAACAAATGGAAGCCAGAATAAAATAATTTGCAAGACTCTGATGAAGCTTTAAGTACAGACAGCAATGAAACAATGATCAAAGCAATAGTACCAGGCAAATACACATACACACGCATGCTCGTCGTCATATGAGCCAAATATTCTCAAGAACGACGTTAAACCCAATTTCACCTCACCTCTTGGTGAGACCAGAGACCATATAGATATGGTCTCTTGTGAGACGAAATAGCTGATGAGTGACAGGGCCTTGGTAGGGTATGGTGATTCTAATGGGTGATGGGGCAGGTTTGGATCTAGGATCGGAGTTGTTGGGGGAATTGCGGATGGTTTAACAGACTAGGTGGGCAGGATAGCTGATGGTTTGGAAGACTAGGTGGGCAGGATAGCGGATGGTTTGGAAGACTAGGTGGGCAGGATAGCGGATGGTTTGGAAGACTAGGTGGGCAGGATAGCGGGTGGTTTGGAAGACTAGGTGGGCAGGATAACTGTTGAGGGAAGTGAAACAGGTCCGTGCCCGTGTTTTCGTATCTCTTTGGTTTCATGATTCTGAAGCAATGACACACTTTATACAGGGTTAATTAAATTCGTGACATTCATATGACTTACGGTATCAATATACATTGCGAGTATTATTATTCCAAGATAATTTAGTATTTTTGCCTTTTTGCGATGTTTCTTTCATCTATAGATTTGAACGTGCGAGAAGAAGCAGTGAAAGTAAACGTGGACACCCTATGCAGACTAGCAGGCTTAACCGAGGAAGGCAGGTTCCGCCATCAGTAAGATAATCTCGTTATTTTGTTTTCAGTTACGTCGCGTTTTGGTAGTGTTTTTAACATGTGTCACAATGCACAGCGTAAATTGTCATACCATGCTACAACTAAAGTAAAACAGTTTTATCAACGTTTAATCAATACTGATAGATAAAGATATATCTCTTTTTAAAATTTTCCAAATAACTGCTTTGTTCATGTCCATTATGCTGTGGGGGAACCGAGTCTGATGAACCAACGAAATGGGACTTTACCTAACATTATGTACTTCAGTACTTACAAATGCTTTAAAATTAAGTCGCATAAAGCTATAATTAGAAAACAATAAAAGTGTGTTTACGGCCTGACAAAAAATATGCGTTGATAATAGTATTGTTAATAGTATTGATAATAACTTGACTAGAAAATCCAGGGAATATTGATAAAATGTTTTTGGAAGAGACCACTACATATCACCGCAGCCTCTCCATGTGCTGGATTGACTACAAAAAAGCATACGACCCTGTCCCCAATGAATGGATTCTGAAGTCTCTTCATTGTATTGAACTCCCGAAGCGACTACTTGATTTACTCAAGTGTTTAATGAGTTGCTGGTCGACTCAACTTGAAATGTACTCGCAAGGGCAGGTGCGGACTTCGGAATCTATTCCAATCAGAAGGGGAATATTCCAGGGGGATTCCTTTAGTCCTTTGCTTTTTTGTCTGTCTTTAAATCCTTTGAGCTTTCTGCTCAATAAAAAGGAGGTGGATGAATCACCAGTGTAGAAATAGTAATCTTTATATTGAAAGTTGGTTTGATGGAGGTATTGACTCAATATGAGACATTTGGGGAGAAAATGTGTTTTGGGTTGTTGTTGTTGTTTTTTTCTTTCAATGAATTAAAAAACCTTTATCGCATTAAAGGAACTGTTTTAGAGTACAATACACTTATTTTGACTTTTGCAAAAACCTGAAAAACCACTCTTTCTTCTCATGCAATTAACACTCAAAACCTCAAACTAAACTCAAGTCTTCAAAACTTATTTTCTAAAAAGGAAGGTGGTAGGAATTACTATGACAAAATGATTGCTTGTTACACTCTCCACAAGGTGTGTCATAAATGGCAGAAAGAACTTGACAGAAATATTTCATGGAATACTGTTTTTACAAAATACAGAAATTGTACCAAGGATGTAAAACTGTTAGATTTTCAGTACAGATTCATGAATGTAGCAATTTAGCAAGGAGAAGAGCTATTGCAAATGAAACTTATAAATAAAATTATTTGCTGTATTTGTCAGTCTGAACCAGAAAATCTCCACCACGTGTTTAAAGAATGTAAATTTGAGCATGAATTCTGGAGACAAGTTGAACATTGTTTTAAGCAGTATATCACTTTTGATATTGTGATCACAGATTTTGATATTCTCTTTTGCAATAGCTCTTATGGTCTATTGACTTCACATATAATCTTATGAGCCAATAATATATATCCATATTACAAGCATCAAACAAAATATGTTATCAATAAAAGGTTTTAGAAACAAGGATGTTTTCAAGGTTCAAGAAATCATTGCAAAGAAGAATAACACTGTGCCTTCATTCCATGGAAAATGGAAATATTTGATCACTGTATTGCAGTCTTAATGTAGTTGTCTCATGTCTTAAATCTTGTCTTTTATCAATACTCATCGTATACAACTTATAACAGTTTTGATGGTCATACTTGCTTATTTTACACACCCTTCAGTACAGTATCCAACGATGATTTCTAACTTTGATTTCAAACAATGTATTGCTGCTTTATATAAATTATATAAAATTGTTATTCATACATATTATGTTTATTTGTACACACCCTATCTGATTGTACACCTACTGAATTGAAATGACTAAAAGGATTTAATAAAAAAAATGAGGGTTACCATCCCGGACCTCCTCAGCACAGATCCCCAACACCGCTTACTCATCTCCTTTTACATGGATGACATTGGGCTCCTTGCGAAAGGAGATACCAATTTGAAAGAGCGGGTTCTCCATTTCTAATGATATTGGCATGACATTCAGACTCGACAAATGATGGATCGGTCAAGTTACAAGGGGGAGGAGTTATTGAGCATCTGGTGGAAGATCAGGCCTACAACTATCATGGAATGCAAGTCCGAGACAAGCTCCAGAATGCCATGATTCAAGACAAACTTCGGGCCGAGTATAAAACTCGCTTAAACAAAATTTGGAGCTCAGAGCTAAATACTTGAAACAAGGTCAAAGCTACCAATACTTTTGCTGTGCCAGTCCTGTCCTATTCCTTTGGATCAGTTGTAGGAGTAAACAAGACATCCAGAGTCTTGACCGCCTGACCAGAAGGATCATGTCTGATAACAGAGCCCACCACCCTCGGTCCTCTCTTAATCGATTATATATACTATTCACACATTGCTAAGGATCAAATCATGGATCCAACAACAA